ACTGTGAAGAAAAATGAATGTGGGGTGCTTTTAAATGCATTTTTTTTTTTGCCTATGGTGAATACTAATCTCCACAAAAAAGAACAAAACTTATACTTAGTGAACAAGTATATCAAATGACCTACCTGTAAAACTGAAATTAAGACATTTTGTAAAAAATAAGAGGGGGTGATTTATAATATATTTCTTAAGTATAGTCCCTAGAGTATAAAAAAAAAAACACTAAAAGCCAATTAAAATTGCCTTTGTTTCTCAAAAGTGTAACATTGATTTGATGCTTTGGGAACTAGAGTCTCCTCTGAGGCTGATATTGCTACATAGCATTATATACAGGATTGATACTGTGTGTGAAATCTTTAACAGAGAGATATTAGCCATCACTTTTAATACCATGGAAGTAGGGAATAGGTTAGATCAATTTATTACTTACATTAAAGTAAGGAAGAATGAATATCAATTATTTTTAAAATGTCATTTTCTCTATAAATGCTAAGGTGAGGACACATACTGATAGTGAGAAATAGAAAAAAGTGAACTAAGGGAGAGTTTTGAGGAGTGCAAAGAATAGGAAAGCCACAGACTAGGAAAAATATTCATACTGAGTAATGTTGGCAAGGATTTCTACTCAGAATGCATACAGATCCTCCACTATTCACTGATCAAAATACAACCAGACAATTTTTAAAAAATCTAATCTTAATACATTTCATTTACAAAAATATATGAATTGCCAAAAACCATATGAAAAGAATTTCAATATGCATAATTGTTAAGGAAATATGAATTGTAAATCCCTTGAGATACCACTGCACATCCTCATTAATAACAAGAATTGTGAGAGTGGTGTTGAGATGTATACACTGTTGATATAAACTAGGTAACTAAACCGTCCCAGGTGGCACTAGTTGTAAGAACCCACCTGCCAATGAAGGAGGCATAAAACATGCAGGTTCGATTCCTGGGTTGGGAAGATCCCCTGACGGAGGAAATGGCAAACCCACTCCAGCATTCTTGCCCGGAAAATCCCAAGGACTGAGGAGTCTGGCAGGGTACAATCCATGAGGTTGCAAAGAGTAGGACAGGTTGAGCAGCTGAGCATGTGTGCAATGAGAACACCCTGTATAGCACAGAGAGCTCTCCTTAAGGCAGTGTGGTGATGTAATGAGAAGGAAGTCCAAAAAGGCGGGGATATACTTACTATGTAAGGCTGACTCATTTTGAAGTACAGTAGAACCTAACACAACGTTGTATAGCAACTATACTCCAATAAAAATTGATTAAAAAAAAGATTGACAGAAAAAGATGGATAAAGATGATGCGAATCAACAGTAACTCTCATAACATATCACGTGAAGAAGTGTAAAATGATTCAGCTACTTCGGAAAACTAGTTTTTTCTTCTGAAATGCCTTATGATGTCTTAATTTTCCTATAAAACTATGGCTCAGTAAGTATTAAGATTTTATCCAAGAGTATAAGAAGGCATACACCCAAAAAGAAATTCAAACATATAGAGGCAGATACATAGATAAACAAATTGTTATATATCCACATAATGGGACACTACATAGAAATAAAAACTGAACGAAGTACTAATAAAACCTAAATGAATCTCCAAAACATTGTAACAGAGGTATATCAACTTCTGAATGGCAGAGTAATGGCTTCCTCTAACCTACTTCTCCATAAAAGCAACAGAAACAGGCAAAGTGGTTAAAATTGCTCTTTCAGAGTTCTGCATATTAATGAAGGCTTGCGACAATGCCACGAGTGTTTTCATTCAAGTAAAAATGTCAGAATATCTCTTTTTAAAAATTTCTTTTAAAATTAATTTTTTTTTTTTTTACTTTAAAATATTGTGTTGGTTTTGCCATACATT